AGAGGTGTATACCTACCCAAAAATCACTATGAGAATTATTCCCCCCAGTTGATACCGATGACCCCATATTTGGAGTCCTAGCTCAAGGCCTAATACCCGTTACAGGGGACACAGAGGGAAATAAAGGAAATGAACAGTGAGCGGAGCTCGGAGCAAGTTGATGGTGGATGTTGTGTATTTTATCAGTGAAAGAGGATAGAATAGTATTGCAGGAGGCAGTAGAGTACATCTGTGGTATTAGTGAGTTTGAAGGTTGAGTGGTGTTGCGGACGAGTGAAAAGAGGGCTCTTGCACAGTTTTGGAAAAATTACTAGAGGAAACCCTGACTAGTTAATAAGACTTAACCCTACTGCACATGACTGAGGTTTTAAAGTTTGTAATATTGGATCACAACTTTTGTAGGTAGCTGTCAGCTGTCCATATGCAGTAAGAACACAGCTTCTTCTTTTACACAGAATCATTATGTATGTGACCTTCTAAAATGTGATCACAGTTTTATTGTTTAAAGAAAATAACCTTAATTGGATGATGGAACTACAAATTTCTCTGTCCTTTTTTACTGGTAAATACGTAGCCATTCTTCAAATGAGGATCACGCTAAAACATCCTGCTATAGACAAGTCCCCAACATCGTAGACCAACCCATCCTGTGACTATGTTGTCTTACTCTAATTTTGGGGGTCCAGGTTCTTTTCTGAAGTTCAGAGGGTCATCTTTGGACTGGTCACTCTTTACAGACAGACAGCTGGGTACAGGCGACTCTGATCTCTGTGGGACTGAAATCTGAAAAAAAACACCATATATGTGTTTATTTACAGCATATTCCTAAATTTTTAACAAATGCACTTTGGACAATGCTAGCAGGGTTTACACTACATGTAAATGACTGTGGCGCACCATGCAACAATTTTAATTATATCAAATCCTCATTGACTATTTTTATGAGAACAATGGCTTTGAATAAGCCTCATTTCAGGCGCTGCAGACCCTTTTAAAAAAAGATGGCCAGACTTTTTTTTCTGTTGAAGTTTTACAATCACTTTTGGTATACTTATCCAAAAAGAAATACAATTGAAAAAATACAGTTTTTCAAGGATATTGAAATGAATGAATATTAATTGGTTGTCTAACCTCAAGCCTGAGTGTCCGGATCATGAGTGAAGTTGAGAGGGTCATCTTTGGACCGGTCACTCTTCACAGACATACAGCTGGGTCCAGGAGACTCTGCTCTGTCCTCCCCTTCCTCTGAACAAACATTCATATTATGCTCTGAAAACAGTCTGAGAGGTCAGACAGAAACACTTAATGATGGCTTCATACATAAGAATGAAGAGAAACAAGTTTGTCCTCCAAGTATTCCCAGATAAGAAGGCAAAACATATACTGACAGACAGACAGAGCTCCTGTGTACCTCTTAATCTCACTGCTGAGTTCATTTAAACTTCCTTTACTTTTCAGCTCAAAGACAAAGACCGAAGTCAAATCATAGAAATGGTGATGTGAAAAATTATTGCATATTAGAAAGACTGCATGCCTCTCAGCTGGTGAAAGGAGCTGTATCAGATATACAAGAGATGCTATTTCTTTGTTGAAGGCTTAGGACAAAATTAAAAAGAAATAACCTTTAACTTTTCAAACTTAATATATTGAGTATGAATAAAAACTTGGAGGCATTATGAAATCAAAATCTCTTTTTTTCTATTGTTTGGATTTATTTGAATCACAGACTGACTACTAAGATAAATGCAGCCCTAGGAGAGTTAGCTAAACACCACAACACATCTATTGCGAAGTCCTGAAAACAAACATGCACCTAAAAAGCACAGATGTATTTTTGTTCAAACATCAGTTCACAGCATCAATTTATTGTAAGTTCAGCTATCAAGGCCTTTTTTTTTTTTTTTTTTTTTTTTTGGAGCCATCCTGTAGAAGTGCATGAGAAGAGAAAATAACGCTGACATCGTGAACCCCCCAGGACACCTGGGTGGAGTTTAGACTAACACTGTCAACATACTAAATGTCATTTAAATCATGAAACATTAAACTAACTATTTGGGAGTTAAAAGGTGAAGTGTTTAAGCCTAAAATTTGAACACTGTGCTGTGTATGTGCCTATATTGCTCTCCAATTTGTTCATACAGCAGAGTTATAATCATGCATTTGTTGTCGTGTGCAACAAAAGATTAGATTAAAAGAGAGATTTCTGCCATTAAAGCAGGGTCAGCTGGAGATTTAATGTGATGGTCCTGATCCTAATCCAAGCAGAAAAATTCATTCAGTGTGTTCTTTAGTGAATGTGTGAGTCTGAGAGGGAGACTCACAGCACGCCATTCTCAAGACAGTCTGGACCCTGAGACCGCAGAAAACGGATCGAAGCTGTGATTAAAACTTTTTGCATGTCACTGAGCATGCAGATGGGGGTTAAAGGTCTGTTTAAGTGGTATCTCTCCCTCTTTCTCTCTCTGAGCTCTAATGCACTGTAACAGCTGGCTCCTGACTAACTGAGTATTTAGCCTGTTGTTATCATCCTCATACACACCACAAACACATCGCAGCTCTTTGAAAGGCTTGTTTGGACTCTACATGGATGCTCCTTTTTTCCTGCTCAGGGAGAATCAAAATTCTGCAGGCTGTACGAAGAAAAAGGTAAAAATGACTGGACAACATGGTTTTTTATTGTGTGCAAACAAACATTGCAAAACTAGAAAGACTCATTTTAGGATGAATGCACAAAAAATCTTCCAGTTATCCACTCAGAAATCATGTTTCAATGGGAAAAACTATGTGTTACATTTCTACAAGGCTGGAGGTTCAAATTTTTCCTGGATTAGCTTCATAGTTTCTTAAATGTGTCTTTGAGCATCATTTAATTGTCTGCTTGAAAAGAAAACAGGTTTTTCTCTGCATTTGTTCTTCCTGTGTGTGTTGTCTATTCTTTATGGTCCTCACACTGAGGAGATGGCAAATGTCTTTATTAACCCTGGCTGTGTCAGGCTAACTGTGGTGAACTAACGTGATGGTGAAGGTTTAGAGGTCAAACCAAATCTCTTCTCACTTATTACCCAGCTGTGTTAAACACATGATTCAGATTGGTTGAAAACCTATAAAGGTGATGATCAGTTCTCAGCAGTAGAAGCTGAGCTATAGGTGCAACCTGATCACACACATCATACTGAGCAAATCTGCACCAGCTGGCTTGTTTTCTTCCTCTGCCTGGGGTAAAATGTTGGTGTTTGTTTGGTCTTAGAGGGGGTTTACAATGACAGTCAGTGAACACAGGTATGAGAGCAGTCTAAAGAGCCACTGAGCCCCAACTGTCTAATGGAGAAAAGTGGAGCAACATCCCGCCTGCTATCTGTGCAGGCAAACAATATCCCACAAATATGGTACTGTAATATTGTAGATAAAGATATAGAAATGCATAGAAAGATACAGACGTAGAGGTATAAATACAGGAGGTAAAGTTATCAGTATAAAAACAGAAATAGTCATAGGTGTTAGATATAGATCGTGATTCATGCAGACATAAAGATCCCGTAGTTCACCCTCTGTCCTCAGTCTGCTCCCCTTGTTCCACTCCAGTCCAGTTGGTGGCAGCATTGCACCTCTGAAAGAGCAAGAACTCCACAGCTTGTTTGTCTTATTTGCACAGTGACAACTGTAACAGTTTAAAAGGATAACAATGCAAACTTTGAAAAAAGTTCTAAAGGGAAGGGGGCTCAGGGGGGAAAGAGATACTGGTCATGGAGGTGTGAGAAATCTGTAAATATGCAAATGATTTATAAAACCCACTTTACATGTTTAGATAGGAAATATAAGCAACAATAACCAGATCCCGATGCTGAACATTGTTTAATGTTACCTGACAGATGAACAAGGGTCACATGATCAAGAGTGGAACAGTCAGTCAGATGAGAGAAATGCACACTGTAGCTCATTGCTGTTCCCTTTGAGACGTCTATCTATCTATCTATCTATCTATCTATCTATCTATCTATCTATCTATCTATCTATCTATCTATCTATCTATCTATCTATCTATCTATCTATCTATCTATCTATATAGATATATATATTTATAAATATATGGGTTCAAGACTTACTCTAATCAACTACAAAGATTAAAGGATGACCCCGGCTCGGAGAGTAATCTGCCTGCAGCGTTAACATGAGATTGTTTAACGGTCTGAGGATGAGCAGTGAGAAACAGGACAGACAGAGAGGATTCAGGTCAAAGGTTTCAGAGAGGCAGACAGACATGTTAGTGAGGTTTGAATAGAACAGAATATTTAATCCAGACAGTGTTTCATAGATAATCCAACACGTCACTCAATATAAAATAACACTCTTATCATGATCTGTTGACTGTGCAGTTTTTCCTCAGATAACAAGACCTCCCTTACTCTGATATGTTTATGGCTTCAGTTCAGTCTCAGCACTGCAGATTCACTTTGAATCTATATTCATATTGAATATTTACAGAGAGAGATTACTCGACTTTGCCAAATGTCATTACTCAGACTCACTCTGTCTTTGACAGAAGTGCTTTCAAAGGTTTTGCACCCTCATCCTGGTCTGTCTACCAGATCACCACAGACTGGATCATTTTATTCGTCTGTAGGACTTTAAAGCTTGGACATTTTATTTTGCAGCGAATTGGGTTCTACATGTTTGAAGTCCAGGAGCTGCAGAGCTGAAATCATTTATCTGAGAGTAGGTAGGAGACTAAAAATATGATCAGATTGAAGTGAAACAGTCTTTGCTGTTTAACTGTTTGTATTCATGTATTACACAGACTCTGTAGGTACATGTACATGTCTGTGCGTGTGTGTGTGTGTGTGTGTGTGTGTGTGTGTGTGTGTGTGTGTGTGTGTGTGTGTGTGTGAGAGAGAGCAGTGATGTGTGAGCAGGCGCTGGTCCATGTACCCACCACCTTTTGCCCAGGTAGGGGTCACCTGACAGCCCTGCACCGAGCTGCCTCAGTGGGAAACAGCGACACCATGGCTGCTTTGATTCAGGGGGGCTGTGCTGTGGACCTGCAGGACGGAGTGAGTGCTGACACACCTGGAGAGACCTACAGCACACCTGTTTGTGTGGCTGATTAATGATTGTAGCAGTTTAGTTTGACAGGAAGTTCATTTTGTGTCAGGATGGAAACACAGCGCTGCATGAGGTCTCGTGGCATGGCTTCTCTCACTGTGTCAAACTGCTGACCAAGGCTGGAGCTGACATCCACATCAGGAACAAGGTAGGAGGATCCACACATACGTATGTGCTTAGTTGAAAGTCTTTTTAGATGGATGTGGATCCCCAAATCACGGTTTCTTTGACAAAAACCTTTGTCTTTATTTCAAAGATATCAAAACCTGTCTGGTCTGGACTGTAACTGACTAAAACTGCATGTTTGAAAGTGCACATGTCTCCTAAAGTTGGGGTGGTATTGTTTTCTGAAGCATTTCGAATTGTCAGGATAAGGATTTTCAACCATTCACTGCTGATATATGATCTCTCTGTGGGGCTTTTGTATATTTACTCTATGGTGACAGGATGATTTGGATTCAGGCAGGTAACACAGCTCTCCACCTGGCGTGCCAGAATGCACACGCTCAGACTGCTCGCCTTCTGCTGCTGGAAGGATCCAAACCAGACACAAAGAACATTGTGAGTCCTGCTGCATCCCACAATGCACTGAGCTAGCTCATGCAAGCTGTAGATTCCCTGCTCTGACTTCAAGATGATGCTAAAATGTGTGATAGTTCCATGGTCACAGCTTTTCTTTAGAACATGAAAACTCTGCTTTGGTTCCAGGTGGGAGATACATGTTTGCATGTTGCTGCTCGATATGATAACCTGACTCTGGTGAAAATCCTGCTCAGCTCTCTGTGCTCTGTGACCCAGAGGAACCAGGTACAGTGTCACAGAATATCAGGGTGTCATACAGGTCATAACACATGTCTAGCTATTGTTGTTTTGCCTAAATACACCTGACTCCACCTGCAATAGCAGCTCCAAGTACATAATTTGTATTGTTTTTATTCATTGATAGGCTTTTATTAAGATGATACCAAATCTACAATCTAAGAAAAAAGGAGCCTCTCTCTCAGATTAACTTCTTAGTAATGTAACATGTCCTGTAACATGTCTTGTCCTTGTGTGTTTGTTGTCCTGCAGTCAGGAGACACGGCTTTGCATGTGGCTGCAGCTCTGAACCACAAGAGGACAGTGGAGCTCTTGCTGGAGGCAGGGACTGATGGGAAAATTAGGAACAACGTGAATATGCATGAAAACATACAAAGAGCATCATGTTGAGCATCCTTGTCACAAGTTTTTCTTCTCTTGAGATCATGAAGAAACAGTCTGATATCCCCTTTTCAAAAAATTAGGAAATTCATAAAGATTGGATTACAGCTGCTAATGGCACGAAGAGCTGCACATTGCACTAATGATATGAAAGCACAAACAGGCCTGTGAAATTTGCCACTCTGCAGTTTGCTGCAGTTTTGAGTCCAATGTAACCATAAGCATCCCCACACTGCTGCACAGCACTACACAGCACACTCTGATCCTCACAAAACTCAAATCTGTCCGCACATGTGAGGTAATGAGCAGTGTATTGTATTGTTGAATCAAATAAATTACAGCTGCAGCATTAAGTTTGTATAACTCTCTCTGTATGTTTGGCTCGTGGCTTATGAAAGTAAAAAAAAATATCAATAACAGATTCTTCTGTAAAAGCTTATTAAATAAGATTAAAGTCCCTTAAACATAAAGCTTCAATATTTGAGGAGGTGTTTTAAAGATTAAGTGAACAGTCAGTGTGTTCTCTTTGTTGTCAAATGTATTCACTCACAGGCCGGTAAAACAGCTCTCGACTCAGCCAGAGATCACAGCCACAAAGACGTCGCACTTCTCCTGGCAAGAGCACCTCAGGTCGGTGTTCATATGTGTGTGTGTGTGTATATATATATATATATATATATATATATATAGACAATTATTTCCAATATATATATATATATATATATATATATATATGTATAGACAATTATTTCCAATATATACTGTGTATATATATATATATATATATATATATATATATATATATATATATATATATATATATAGGAAAAAATTGTCTAGATCCTGTGTATAAAACAAAACAAACAAACAAAAAACACATATCCACACTTGTTTTTGTTTCTGATTCAAAGTTTAAAACTTTTTTTTTGTTTAAAATGCTCTGCTCTCTCTTATTTAGCAGATTTTCTTACTGTTTTAGGTGCATCGCTTCATGAGAAAAACAATTAAAAAAAGAAGAGCTGAGAGGAGGACCCAGTCTGACCCCAGAGAGGACAAACCACCAAACAAAGTAGAGAAATACCTGACAAAATCTCTCAAGACTTGTGTAGGGACTTAATTTTTCAAAGTGTAAAGTTGGTCTTTTTTTTAAATTTTATATCCTGTATTTGAATTCATGCCTCACTCCGGTCTATGTGTTGTGAGTAGGATGACAGTTCAGGTGTGGAGGAAACCCACAGCAGTGAACGAAACGCCATCCAGGTGAGTCCTTACAAACTGAAAAAACAGAAGCAGCGTAACCACAAGACCCCAGCTGCCGTCAGCATCCCCTGCAGCCCCCGTCAGAGGAGGAGGGTCCAAGTTCAGGTGAGTCTGAGACCAAAACCATAGACAATGCAACTGCTTCTTTATAGTGATGGTTTATGCTTGATGTGCCACATAAATACAGCGACTCCCTTCAGCATCCAAACATTAGAGCTTTCTGAACCTTTTTATACATAAATGATACACTCATAAAGGGATCATTTTTTCAGTGTTACATCTTCAAACAAGTCAAAAAATCACATCATTAACTTTTTTTTTAAATATAGGAAACCTTGGAGAAGTAATATGCATTAAAGAAGTAGAAAGTGATATGATAAAGCTGTGAAATCATGTTTTTATGACATTATTTTGAGAGTAAATTCGCAACAGTAAATATCAATAAAGACATGGAGGACATAACAAAACACAGTCTGTCTCGACTCTCATGATATTCTTACAAAACTGACATGAAACACAGAACTGGTAAAAGCAGTTAAAAGAGAAAAAACATGTTGAATAAAATGAAAAGGACTACATTTTTTCCTGAGGTTATCTGAGCAGCCATGATCCTTTAGTCCTCTAAATCCTCTGTAGGCTGTAAACAGAGACGATGATCAGAGAAAAAGACAGAAAAACCTCCACAGTAAGAGAGACCAGCTCTGTGAGGATGACGACAATGAAGACAGTCCTGCTCTGAATGGAAAAACGTACCAGCTGTACACTCTGTATCGGGACAAGGATGGAAACATCAGACAGGTTTGGGTTGTTTTTAATTAACTGCAGACACAAAGCCGTCATTTATGATCCTGCAGCAGACACTGAGAAGGTTATAAGGAAATCTTTGTCTTACTGTTTGGCTTTCTTCCTACTGAGCATGCTCTGTGTGGCTCTTTTCAGGCTCCTGTTGATGGATGCCACTGTCAGCCACTGCTACAGAAGCTGGAGGTCCAGCTGAAAGCCACGCAGGAGGAGATGAGGCTGCACATCCTCAACATCCAGGAGCAGGTCAGTTGCAGGCTGGGACAGATGGACCGCAGGAACCGACACCAGGTGCTCCTTCTTTCTCATTTTACCTTTACTATCAGGAGATAAAACTCACATAGAAACACTGGCAGCTTCTGTGGCTCCTAAATCTGCAGAAAACAAGCTCAATGTGAGAATGACACATGTCAGTGCAAAAAGCACTTCAAACTGTGCTGCAGAAAAAAAGGATCTGTCAAATCAGCCTGACTGCAAACTTTTTGTGTCAAATGCAAAGAAAAAACAAAGATTATTTTAGGTTCCTGAGAAAAACTGAATTCAGGTTTTAATTGTTAAAACAGGTGCAGTGGTTTTTATGACAGAATAACTTGATGTAGGTTTAGTAACGCTGGTTTACTTTTTCTCTTTCTCCAGATCAAAGTGTTGGACATACTGAATCAAGAGAGAGCTGCAGCTGAGAGGAGAAACATGATTTACAGGATGGAGCAGAGAGTTGCCCAGGGGAGAGAGGAAACACTGATGACACAGGTACAGGGTTTGAATGTGAAACTTCCTAACAGCTGAAAGGAGTTGGATATACCTGTATTCTGGTTTTAAGAGAGCTGGTCTTTGTGATTTGATGCTTCAAGTTAGAAGTCATTGTGAAATTCCCTCTGAAGGTAAAAACATGCTTTTAAGGCTCTGTTATGCTCTGTATTGGATATACATACAGACATTGTTGGCGTCTGCAGTCTGCGCTCTGTGTATGTACTGTATGTCTGCACATTTTTTGCAAGTATGCAAATACAGACTGAACCCCACAGAAAATCCCATGGCAGTGAAGTCAGTGGAGCCAACACACAAACTCATTCTTTGAAAGATTTGATCTTTCATCCAAATGTTGCAAAGACCTCACAGACCACCAACATCTGCAACAGTGGCCCCGTTTACATGGGTCCAAAAATCCTATTTATAATCAAATTGAAAGGTCAATCAGATTCAAAATGTCTCATTGTCGGATTGTAAAAGGTAGTCCACACCGGTTGATAATCCGCTCCATGCTCCATGGATATCCGGCTGAGTGGTAGTGGTGTGTCGGTCTTGAACGAACGGATCAAAAGAACTAGTTCTTTTTGATGAACGAAATGAACTAGTTCTCCCCCCCTAAATGACCCGTTCAATCCGTTCAGTTCTTTTGATTGGCTGAAGAGGGACTGCTTGCCTGTCTTATCCTATCGTCGCGCCTCGTTCTGTGTGTGGGTGGGGCTTAGAGAAGCAGCAGCAGTACTACTGAGCTGACTGAAAGACCGGAATGACCGAGTTGACTGAAAGAACGGGTCAAATGAACGAAAGACCTAGTTGACTGAAAGAACGGGTCAAATGAACGAAAGACCTAGTTGACTGAAAGAACGGGTCAAATGAACGAAAGACCTAGTTGACTGAAAGAACGGGTCAAATGAACGAAAGACCGAGTTGAACGAAAGACCCAGACCGATGAACGAGTTGAACGAAAGACCGAGTGAACGAAAGATCCTGACGGATGAACGAGTTGAACGAAAGACCGAGTGAACGAAAGACCCAGACCGATGAACGAGTTGAACGAAAGACCGAGTGAACGAAAGATCCAGACGGATGAACGAGTTGAACGAAAGACCGAGTGAACGAAAGACCCAGACCGATGAATGAGTTGAACGAGAGACCGAGTGAACGAAAGATCCAGACGGTGAACGAGTTGACTGAAAGACCGAGTGAACGAAAGATCCAGACAGATGAACGAGTTGACTGAAAGACCGAGTTGACTGGCCGCCGCACGAGGCCCGACAGCCGAGCCGGAGCGAGCGGGACAGTCACACACACGCAAAGGCACACAGCTGCTGCTGCAGCAGCCAGAGGCAGAGAGACAACTATTGATACGCATTTGCACTGTCTGTTGACATTTTGTACTTTTTATTATTGTTTTTAATGCACCTCAAAATAATAAAAAACCATTAAAAACCTTATATATTTTGTTACTCCTACTATAATTTTATATTACAAGTAGTGCAGTGCGATCGCAGCGTTGGACTGGGGGTGGGAAGTGGAGTGCAGCGGTCACAGCGTCTGACTAATGACCGATTGACCGAAATGAACGGGTCTTTTTACTGAATGACCCGGAATGATCCGGTTCACTGAAATGACCGGTTTTGCCCACCACTACTGAGTGGAGCGGATTGGGTTTACAGAGAGGCTTGTTCGGTCTGCGCAGGCGCTCGGTAGTACGGAAGAGGCACGTAGTGACGTATGCAGAGCGCGCCCAAACAAAAACAAACATGGCGAACAAACAGAAAAACTGGACGGTGGAGTGTTAAAGTGTGTTGTTTCGTGCTACTGACGAAGCGTACACTTCTTGCTGTGTAACCCGGCTGGATTATACTTTTATTAAGCTTCAACACATAGGGTTCCTTACTCTGCTCAGTCTGGTAACTCCGGCGGTGTCACACACAAACACGTCCGTGTGCAATTCTAAAACGGAACTAAAACAATGGTTCCTATGAACAATTCCCATTGATACAATACAGTACAATTGGATTCAGCTGGGGCCATGAAAACGCAGACTGAACGTGGATCTCTTTACTTAAAGTTCATGTACACAGATTGAATCAGATTCACTTAATCCGATTGATTTCAATCAGATTGAGGAAAACTACCCATGTAAACAGGGCCACTGTCTCTGATTTGGCCTCTACCCTCTTCCTTTATGGGTGACTTTTGACTTGAGTGGCGCCCTCTGGTGGTTACCGTGCTTAACATCCATCCCAACATTCAGAGGACACGTGGAAGTAGTGCTGGGCGATATGGAAAAAAATGTATATCAAGATATGGATCATTTTATATCACGATAACGATATATATCACGATATAGTTATGGTATGCTTTCAGTTCTATGAAAAATTAAAGTGTATACAGCTGCCCTAGTACAGTGCCAGTACAAGACCAGCACTTAAAACTAGAAAAGTGAATAAATAAATATGTGGCTGAAGTGTGTTCATGTCTGTGCTCACCCGAAGTTATGCAACACTCACAAAAAACGCCGATAGTGTGAGCCAAAGCACTCCATAATAATAATAATAATAATAATTAATTTAATTTGTAATGCACTTTACATTTACAAAAAATCTCAAAGTGCTACAGTACACAGTAAAAAAAGAGCAGCAACAATAAAAAAGCAATAGAATGACAGTCACAGATTGGCATAAAAAACGCAAAAAAATAAAGAATATAGAGTTGCAATGTAAGAGGCAAGGTGGTAAAAGCATAGAGGAAAGCTAACCAAAGGCTTTATTAAAAAGGTAGGTCTTTAGGGCTCTTTTGAAGAGGTTGTTCACACTGCTGGATGTTTCTCCTCCAAAGCTGCTCTCTGCCCCCATCATTGTTTACTTTACTCTTGAAGCACGTAGCAAGACCCGAGCATGAATCCGAGCGCTTTATTCGCCTATCAGGGGCAGACAGGTAAGGTGATTTGATTCGCCACGACTCCAGAAATGATTGAAAAACTACAGAATGTCACAAAATCACGTTTCCTCGCTCCTGACTTGAAGGTTAGAAATGCGCAGCCGCGCTCCCAGCTGACAGGAAGTCAAACCACTGTTGTAGTTCTTTTGTGTTGCTAGCGCGGTCAAGAGTGTTGGCTCTCACTGAGAGATGACTACAAAAATGGACGCACCTGTTCATCTGGTTGTTTAACACGGCTGAAAATGATCATCTATTAATGTTGTTCCCGCTCCTGCCCACTCCCGTTGCTTTTTTTCCCCGTCCCGTCCCGATTAAGGGGTTATTTAAAAATGACTCCCATCCCGTGGGATTCCCGCGGGAATCACGTGACCCACGGGAATTCCCGAAAAATGTCATCCTCTACAGGGAAGGTCCCGGAGCAGATGAAACAGGTGCCGGAGCGGCTGAAATAGGTCCCGGGTCCGATCAAAAGAGGTCCCGGAGCGCACTCCGACTTGCTCCGGCACAAATTAAGCACTGCGTGCAATGATCCCTTAAGTGTGTAACTCAGGTAACCCGCAACGGCGGAAGACGCTGGACACGAAGAGGGCACGTAAAGCGGCGTCATGTCGCAAAATCGAAAGAGAAATGCGAGCCTGCATGTCAACGCATCCTTTTCTTTGTAAGAAAACATTGTTTTCTTTTCCGTTTGACACCAAATACACTTACTGAATGTGCAATTATTGTTGTTGTTACTATGAATCATCTGATGGCACAAGCCCTATGGATAAAATACAGCCTGTCGCCCGAAACGATAAAAATAAAAATGGCACGATAGACATTTTCTATCGTGCCCACGATATCTATCGTCCTATCGCCCAGCACTACGTGGAAGTATGAGGACTGTGCTCAGGCTCAGAATGGTTCCTGCTCTTGTTAGTTTGATGTCTCAGCCGCTTTGTGTCTTATCTCATCCAGGCAGCGGTCAGTCATGAGCTAAAGAGATGGTGTCTGTCCCAGCTCAAAGAGGTCCAAGCTCCCACCAAAACCAAATACTACAAACTCCTCCCCTCACCGTCGGTGGAGCAGTGTGCGGGGGATGCTGAGCTGGAGTCCTTCCCCCTGCTGTCCGTCAGATCTGGAGACAGCAGCACTTCACTGGCTACCTACGTCAACATCCTGCCATCCAGGTCCTCCCACAGCCCGGAGGTCCTGGAGCCGGAGTTGAATGGGGGCAAGACGTACTTTGAGATGAAGGTGGACAGGTCACCAGGTATGTCAGAAAAAAGAGATCAACAGAAATGCATGCAGAGATGCAAGGGAACAAAGAGTGGAGAGAGTGAAGAAGGATACTTAGTGACCCTGGTTTTGTTAAATCAGACTAAAACTGTTTTTGTTTCCTATATCTGTCAGTGTGTCACTAGTTCATCTCAGCACAGCCTGACTGAGTCTATGTACTGAGAAAAAGTCATGTTTTAGTGTAAATCCTGCAGAACTGCCTTAATCAAAATGAACTTGTTAACTTTTGGGAGTTTTGTGTTGAAGTTTAAGCTTACTGGAGAGATCCTGTGTCTTCTCTGTGATCATTTCATACTAATAACTCTCTGACCCTCTCACACTGTCCACCATCAGATGATTATCAGAACACAGCCCTGTTTCCTCTGCCTGCCCAGAGCACCTCCGGCCTCCTGCTGGGCTCTGTTGACCCCCTCTGGCAGCCTCCCAGAGTGCAGGATAGTCCCACTGCCCCAGCCCTGTGTGGAGAGGGTTTCTACACCAGCAGCACAAGCTGGACCAGCATTAGCGATCAGGCCCCCAGATTGACTCAGCATCAGGACAAAAGCTTTAGTAGAAACCTGACAAACACCCACAGGCAAGCTGGGCTCCATGCTGAGGGAACCAGGACGCTGGAGTTCTTCACTGATCATCCTGCAGAGCCCACCTTTGTCCAGGAGAGGAACAACCTGCACGCCAAGGAGGTGAGATCAACAACAGGTTTTCATTACTGCAAGTTCATGAAGAAACAAACTTTAAAGAGGCAGAGACCTCCAGGGTTCAGAAATGAAGATGATGTAGAAGTGCAAAAAGCTACAGTTCCTCTGCTGGCCACAAGAAGTCATCTCCATAAAAGTTCTTATTAAAAAAGCCTGTTTATAAAACAGAATCAAAGGGAATGGGAACTTAATCAGCACTTTATTTTGCCACCAGAAAGACCATCTGTTTTTGCGCACATGCTCCTGCTGGGTCTGTAGTGAATGAGTCACCTGTCTACAGTGAATTTTGATCCGTTTGGCATGTTGTTTAGCACTGAACTGCCTCAGGGCAGCCTGCAGACAGTGATGTGTGTAGGGTTTATTTCAGTTCAGCCTTCCTCTTCAACAGCAGCTAACACAGTGTTATATAAATATGGTAAACATTTTGATTTCTAAAGCTCTGACTGGACTCCTGAATGTTGAAGAAAGTGGGTAACTTCTAAATCTGATGTCTAAAATGAAACACCAGTGTTTAAAGTGTGAAACAGCTTCAGTAATATATGGATCTGAGCGCCCTCACAGGTGTGCCATTCCTTCCAGGTGACTCAGCGTTTCTTTGAGACAGTGTCCATCCAGCTGGAGCGATGGTACGAGAGGAAGGTCGTGGAGGTGGAGCGGCAGACGGCGCTCCGATCCCAGCAGGACAGGGACGAGCTGCTGCAGCGAATCAATGCGCTGGAGGAGGAGCTTCGGAGGCTGAGGACCAATGAGAGCACAGAATCACTGAAGCAACCTGACAGTGACTGAAACCTGAGCAGAAGACATTTTTACTCCAAATATCTTATGACTGGAAAATAAAATCATCAACAAACATAATTGATCTACATACTGTTAAAAATTTATTTGAATTACTGAACAAAGTGTCAGAAAGTTTGAACACTTAAATAAATGTTGTGGGGTGAAATTCTTCTTTTCCTCAGTGTGGATGAAGTACCTTTAAACCAAACCTGAGATTTAAGTTAATGTCAGCTGTCTTACAATGACACAATATAAAGTCTTCAATTATCTGTTATTTACTCAATTTGAATGTCAAAAATATAGACAGATGATTTACTCATGCCTTGCTGGAAATTGCATCATTACCTATGTCTATGTCTATTTATGATTTATTTGTGATTATAGGGGACTCTAGTAAAATGATTGTTTGTTAGAGTTCTATTTTTTTACTTTGATCTTTGTAACATTATCAGATAGATAGATAGATAGAATTTTATTTTCATTGTGACAAGCACAACGAAATTAAAAAGTGCCTTTACAGGCAGTGCATTGAAAAAGGGGACAATAAAACATTAGACAGCAAAACAATAAAACCAGTGCAGAGTTAAAACTAACAAAAGAATGAAAACTACGCCCATAAATACATGGGCAACATATCATCTGGCTTTCGGCGTTGATGGAACCGGACAGTGTTTGGGGGGGGGGGGGGATCTTTTTTGCAGTCTTTTTGTCCTGGCGTGGATGGCCCTGTACCGTCTGCCTGATGGCAGTGGCTCAAACAGGTGGAGTCTCTGCTGAGCTTTTTTTTTTTTTTTACCACCTGTGTGGTGTTCTTGTCCCAGGTCAGTTTCTCCTCTATGTGGACCCCAAGGAAGCGAAAGTCATGGACTCTTTCCATACAGGTCCCATCAATGAGAAGGGGCTGCAAGTCAGTTTGCCCAGTTTGTTTTTGATGTGTTCAGAAGCAGATTATTGTCTCTGCACCACACTGTCAGCTGTTGCACCTTCTTGCGATAGGCAGATTCATCCCATCCGGGGATGCAGCCTACTACTGTGGTGTCATCCGTGTACTTGATGACGGTGTTGCTGGCATGAATGGGGGTGCAGTGTGCTGAGTGTGAGAACTGAGGAGGTGTGCGGGTCAGTCCCAACCCTTTGTGGGCGGTTTGACAGGAAGTCCTTAATCCAAAAACATGTGGAGTGAGGTAGTCCAAGGTTGAGCAGTTTTCTCACAAGACCGTGGGGTAGGATGGTATTGAAAGCTGAGCTGTAATCCACAAAGAGAAAGTGAGCGTAGTTCCCCTGCTTCTCCACGTGGGTAAGCGCTTTATTTAGCATCGTGTTCACAGCATCCTCGGTTGTCCTGTTTGCCTTATGGGCAAATTGGTACAGGTCCAGGCTGGGTGGTAGGAAGGTTGTGATGTGACTTCCAACCAGTTTCTTGAAGGACTTCAGCACCACAGGTGTGAGTGCAACCGGCCAGTAGTCATTGAGGCTGGTTACAGGGGATTTCTTGGGCAGGGGCAAAACAGTGGAGGTCAGGATGGAACTCTAGACTGTGTCAAGGACAGGTTGAAGATCCTGGTGAGGATCCCTGCCAGCTGGTTTGCACACACTTTCAGCACCCGTCCGGAGACACCATCTGGGCCTGCTGCTTGCGTGTGTTGACAGCTCTCAGTGTGTGCTTCACCTCGTGCTCCCCCAGCATGAGGGTGGGGCTGCTGCCAGCCATCAGTGATGGTGTGGCTGGTCCTGATGGTTTGGTCTCGAAGCGGGCAAAGAAGAGGTTGAGTTTCTCTGCCAGCGCTGCGTCACCCTCAGCAGCACTGATGCAGGGTTTTGTAGTTGGTGAGGTGTTGGACAGCCAACCACGCCTTCCTGTTGTTGTTATTACCCAGGTGGTTGTCAATCTTCCTGCTGAAGTCCCCCTTGGCCTTCTTAAGTTTATGATCTGACTTGCCCATTTGTGGAGCAGATCTGGCCCTGTAGATCTAGCAGATCTGGCCCCTGGCCTTGACATAAAAATGTATATTTTATAAAACTACAAACACACACACACACACACATACACATACCATCATTAGCAGTCCATCGATGTCGATGGTGACGTAGCTTCCTTCTGCTGTGATGAGTTGGTCAGTGGCCATCTTCGCTGTCGCTGATGCCACTGTAGATGACTGTGAAGTCCTATTCTGGAACAGCATATCCTTCCACAGTCAGGACGTGAGGTCTGGATCAGGAGGCTGAGATTGTACTAAGGCAGCATGGGAGTGTCTTTGCTGACGCCGCACAGTTCTTTGTTGAGTGTGCTTCTCCTCAAGGTGTGCGACCCGTCATGGCACAGAGAGCGCCAGAGAGGCCGATTAGCCGCAGCTGACTCCAGGTGATTGGGGTTGATGTTGCACCTCTTCAGATTGCTTTTCAGCTGATCCTTGTAGCGCAGTTTTGGACCGCCTGGCTTCCTGTTGGCTGACAGTAGCTGTCCATATAGCACTTGATGGGGCAAGCGGCAGCCAGGCATCCGGATAACATGTCCAGCCCACCGGAGTTGCTGCTGCACTAGGGTTGCCTCTATGCTGGTGGAATCAGTGCGCTGGAGGATGTCACTGTGGGGAACACGGTCTTGCCAGGTGATGCTGAGTATGCGCTGGAGGCATCTGATGTGCATCAAGATGTAGGCAGTCCAGGCTTCTGCCCCATAGAGCAGCGTGGATACACACACTGCTCTGTAGATTGCAGCTCTCGTTGAAATTCTTAGGTGGCGGTTCTCAAAGACACAAGAGCGCAGTCTACCAAAGGCAGCTGAGGCCAGATTGATGCGGGCCTCGATGTCGTGGTCAATGTGGCAGGCAGGTGTTAATATACTGCCAAGGTAACAAAACTGCTGGACAGTCTGGAGGAGTGTACCGTTGATGCTGAACACTGGATGGACAGAGGATGGACACCTCTCCTGTATCATGACCTCAGTTTTTTGATCACGAGTCCTAGTGAGCTGTAGATAGAGGACATGGTGTCCAGGGCACGCTGCATGGCGGCTGGGCTATGAGCCATTAGTGCACAGTTGTCTGCATATTGCAGCTCTTGAATTTTAGTGACCAGGGTCTTTGTCTTCGCCTGTAGGCACCTTATGTTGAACAAAATCCTGTCCAAACGGAACTGGATTTGAACACCTCCTTCTTCCTTGATGGTCTAGTGGAATAGGAGAGTAGCTGCCGTAAGGTAAAGATTAAAGATCACAGGGGCCAGCAAGCATCCCTGCTTCACACCAACTTTAACAAGGAATGAGGGGGATTGCTGCCCTCTGACAAGTACACGTGCCTGCATGCCGTTGTGGAATTGTCTAAGGATGTTGAGGAATTTGGTGGGGATGCCAAATTTCTTGAGTATAGTCCAGAGGATTTACCGATCAACAGTGTCAAAGGCCTTAGTTAGGTCAATGAAAGTGAGGTAGAGGTCCTTGTTTTGCTCCCTGCACTTTCCTGGATTTGGTGTGCAGCAAAAATCATGAGTGCTTCGGCTCTTTCTGAAGCCGCACTGTGTCTCTGGAAGGATGTTCTCTGTGACGAGTTGTTAGTCAAAACAGCATTATTTTTGCAAGCACCTTGCCAGCAACCGAGAGGAGAGAGATTCCGCGACTGTTCCCACAGCATGACTTATCTCCTTTCCTCTTGTATATAGTGACAATGTTACTGTCTTTCCACTCTTGAGGCAAGGTCTCATTTTGCCAGGAGTTGCAGATGAAGCGGAAAAGCTGGTGTATACACAGGTATCCCCCCTTCTTGAAGATCTCAGTCGGGAGTCCATCAGGGCCAGGGCTCTTGTTGTTTTTGAGACTCCTGATTGCGGAGAGGACCTCAGTGAACTCTGGGGGTTCATCAAGGGAAGGGACTGGTGGTAGGTCTGGGAGAGCATCAAGGACAGAAGGATCAGAGGGGTTTGTTGTGTTAAGCAGGGCGTCAAAGTGTTCGGCCCAACACTCAAGAATCTGTTCTTTGTCCTTGAATAGTACAGAGCCGTCTGCAGATCTTACAAGGGTGATGTTACGCTTCTACGGGCCATACAAGGATTTCACGGCCTCGTAGAGTTGTCATCTGCGTGCCTCTGTATCTCTTCGGCTTTTTTGAGCCACCATTCATTCTCCATGGTCCTGAGTTGTTTTTGGGTCTCACCTCGGATGGCTTTGTAGCGAGCGCGGAGCGGTGGAGAGTGAGGGTTGGAAAGCACAGCAGCATGGGCTTTGCGCTTGGTTTCCAGAAGCTCTTGTATTGCAGGAGAGCTATTGTCAAACCAGTCCTGGTGGCGTTTTTGAGTGAAGCCAACGGTCTCGGAGGCAGCATCGTATATAATTGACCTCAGTTTTGCCCACTCATTCTCCATGTTAGGGACATTGTTGTCGTCCTTCAGGTTGGTGAGTTGCTTAGCCAGTGTGTTGCATAGATGGGATATGCAATGTGGAGATGCCAGGGCCTTGCAGTTGAGTCGCTTGCTAGGTTGTTGTTTCTTGTGTGGAGGTCGGATCCGCAGCTTGAATTTAGATCTAATCAGCCGGTGGTCAGTCCAGCATTCCGCTCCATGCATAGCCCGGGTTGTGCAGACGTCACTTGTATCTTGTTGGTGGGTGATAATGTAGTCCAATAAGTGCCAGTGTTTGGACCTGGGGTGCATTCATGATGTTATATACTTCTTTTTCATCTGAAAGATGGTGTTGGTTATGAGGAGCTGATGTTCAGAGCACAGAGTGAGGAGTCTGAGGCCGTTGCAGTTTATTTTGCCTATTCCATGATTTTCGATCACTGGTTTCCAAATCTTGGCATCAGTGCCTACTCCGGCATTGAAATCACCCATCAGAATCAGCTTATCAGAATCAGGGATTTTGGATAGAGCAGCATCAAGGGACTCATAGAAGGCATCTTTAATGTTGTTATCGGCATCCAGGGTGGGGGAATAGGCACTCAGTAGTGTAGCGAATCAGCCTTTTACCAGTGGGATACGCCAGGTCATGAGGCACTCACTAATGCCTTGGGGGGACT